CGACATTGCGGGGCGGGGGCGGGGGCGGGGGCCCGGGTCGGGGCCGTGGTAGGGGTCGGGGTGTCCACCGCACAGCATCAGCTGGGCCCGGGGGCGACGGAGGGACCATGGCGGCCGGCGGCATCACCACGCTGCCAGGGCAGCCAGAGGACGGCGGCGCCGCCTTCCCGCCTGGCCACTTCAAGGACCCCAAGCGGCTCTACTGTAAGAACGGCGGCTTCTTCCTGCGCATCCACCCCGATGGCCGCGTGGATGGAGTCCGCGAGAAGAGCGACCCTCATGGTGAGCTGCCACTTCTCGCCCACGCACAGGGGTCGCATGGTGTCCTATTCCCTTCCGTGCCTCGGGGACGTGGGGGACACCACCGGGACGCAGCCCCCGTCCGTTCCCTGGGAGACGGGATACCGAGGTGCAGTGCAACCTTGGGGACCCTGGGGTACACGGGCACGCGGCTCCCTTCCACGCCCTCAGGGACATGGGGACACCACGAGGACGTGACGTCTCCCTTTTGCGCCTTTGGGAACATGGGGATACCGAGATGCAACTTCCTTCTGCGCCCTTGGGATGAGGTTCAGCATGTCTGCCTGCCACCTCCTCCCACAGCTCCAGATACACCTGCTCCTTGGTCTCTGGATCCCTCTCAGGCCACCTGATGCGCAGGGCCAGGATGGTCGTGGTGAGGGCTCCACAGCTCTTGGGGGGTGACCCTTTCAAGGTTCCTGCTTGCATTCTGCAGTTCCCCACACCAAGCCCATGGGAACAGGATGGAATGTTCATCGTTGGGGACATGTCTGTTGGGACTTGGTGCCTAGAGAGATGTGGCCCTTGCTCTTACCCACCAGTTTCATATTCCCCCCCACCCACCCAGCTTCTTTCGGTTGTTCTGAAGAGAAGAATTAAGCGAGACCAAACAGAAAGGAAAACTGTTTGAGTGTGCAAAGAAGTGCAAAAACCTTGGCACTTAACCCCATCCCTGAAGTGGGATTAGAGACCTTGCAGCAGCTTGAGGGTGAGATGAGAATTGTAGTTTCATTCATGTAAAACGTAAATCTGCCTGTGATTATAGAACTAACACTGACCTGAATCAGTGGTCTCAACTCTAGGGGCCCCAAGGAATCACCTGCAGCATTTGCTGAAATGGATTGGTGCCTGCTCTCAGGAGTTCTTGTCTTGAGTTGGGGCAGAACACCTACACGTCTGACGAGTTTCTAAGTGGTTCTCCTCTGGGAGCCACACTTGGAGAGCCATTGAGTAGGAAAAAGGAAGGAAAGTGTCCCAGGTAGGCTGGTTTAGGTCTTTTGACTGGGTTGGAAGTGAGAGAGGAGACCAGAATTATTGTTTAATCTGTTCTGTAGTTAAAACATCTACTGGCTCCCTTTGGGGTCTGACCCCTTTTTCCCCTCTCTTTGAGAAAAGAGTTGCTGAGCTCCGGAACTCCAAGGTCCGGAGCTCCTCCTTGTAGCTCTGCCCTTATCAAGATGCCAGGACATTCCAAAAGACCAGAATGCCCTAGGAGCAAAAGGAGCTGTCCTGTGAATGTGACATGTACTTTCATATATTCTGAGTACTTTAAAAGCATAATGAAAATTTAACTGCCACATAAAACATAAAAACTATACACATTCGTGGTTTAGGGTAATGATTCTATACATATTTAATATGTTTGTCCTAGTTTGTTTCTCTATTGCTGTGACAAAATACACCAACCAATGCCAGCTTGGGAAGGAAAGGGTTTATTTGCCTTACATATGGATCAAAGTTCATCAAGGAGCCTAAGGTAGGAACTCAGGTCAAGGAACCTGGAACAGGCCATGGAGGAATGCTGCTTACTAGCTTGTTCCCCTGGCCCTTGTTTAACCTGCTTTCTTATACAGCATAGGCTCACCTCCCCAGGGGTGACACCACCCACAGTGGGCTGGGCCCTCCCACATCACTCAATAATCAAGAAGATGCCTCACAGACATGGCCACAGGCCAGTTCAATGGAGGCAGTTCCCCAATTGAGGCTCCCCCTACCCATGTGTGTCAAGTTGACAAGTAAAACTATCCCGCCCAATGTTTATGTGGGTTTAAAAATACCTGCCTCTTTGTTTGCAGTTTTCACGGTAAAATCTTTCTAGATCCTTTCTTTTAGCCTTTTGAAATTTACAGTACAGTATTTTCTGTCATCACTATGGTACTGCTACTGAGTTAGTACAGCAGATGTCTTGTTGCTGTCTCTGACTCAGGATTAGTGTAGTCTTTATTATTTCTAAAACAGAAAGCACTAAGAGATATAAGTCTGTCATTTTTTTTCCAGACCTGCTGTAATTTGAAAACCCTTAGCAATCTTTATCCAATAAAATTGGAAAGGCACTTGAAACCTATATGAGACATCACTGTTTATCTACTCTAGCATTGAGTAGCCTTGAGTAGCCACAAAATTTATTTTGTATTTGAAATTTGTCTGCTAGACTGACGCAATGGTTGGGAAAATTACATATATGTCCCAAGTGGTTTTATTCTTTTGTAGTAGCACAAATTATTGAAAAAGCCTGTTTCATGACTAAGGACAGAAGAAATACCCACCAGATTGATTCTGTTTGCAGATTTACCCAGTATTCTTTTTTAAAAAAATGCTGTATTAGTTGCAGATTTTTTTGTCTTTGAAGCTATTTGTTATTTACAGAAGTGAGTGGAGATAATTCTGAATTGCATACTCTATTGCCATCTTGTAAAAACAACTGTTAATTCTTCCCAAATATGGATTGGGCTTTAAAAAAAAATGGCAGGGAGTGATGGCACAGGAGGATCTCTGGGAGATTAAGGCTAGTCTGGTCTACATGTAAAGGCCAGTTGAGGGGTGGGGGTCACTGTACTTTTTTTTTAAAGATAGTATCTTCCTGTAGTCCCACCTGGTCTTGTTATGTAGACCAGGCTTACCCTGATCTCACAGAGATCCTCTTGCCTCTGCTTCCTGAGTACTTGGATTACCAACATACGCCACCACATCCAACTCAGCTATGTAAATCCTTAATTACGTGATTCTCAAGAGGAGTGATCTGAAATTCTTAGGTTTCTAGTAATCATAACCCAGAAGGGTATCCTGAGTATTATTTAGTAGAGGCCATCCTGGGTGTTTAGTGGAAGGTTATTCTGGGTGTTCAGTGGAGGGCTCTCCTGAATGTCTAGTAGAGGGCATCTTGCATGTTTAGTGGAGGGCATTCTGCGTATTTAGTGGAGGGTTCTTCTGGGTGTTCAGTGGAGGGCTCTCCTGAGTGTTAGGTGGAGGATTCTCCTGGATTTTTAGTACAGGGCTCTCCTGGATGTTTAGTGAAGGGCATCCCAAGTGGTTAGTACAGAGATCTCCTAGAGGCATTTAGTGGAGGCCATTTAGTGGAGGTTCTTCTGGGTGTTTAGTAGAGGGCTCTCCCAGATGTTTAGGTGCTTAGTTGGGTCACTCGCGTTTCAGTAGATAACAACATTCTTTTCCACCCAGATTGCCCTCCCAATCTAATATGAAGGTCCATAAGCCTTTCCTACTTTGTCATTAGCTAAAGGGAAGATGCTGACAGTCTAGAGTAGAATAACTCATCCAGATCTTTGTACATTATCAATTTTTTTTTTTTAAAACAGGGTCTCCCTGTAGCCCTAGCTGGCCTGGAACTCACCATGTAGATCTGGCTGACCTCTATCTAACAGAGATCTGAGATCTGCGTGCCTCTGTCTTCAGAGTGCTGAGATTAAAGGGATGTGCTACCACACCTTGCTTAGGATACTAATTCTTTTAAAGGACACCTTTTGCCAGTTACAGAAAACCCAAACCTAAAAATGATGAATTTAAAATACTTATGTCTAGTTTCACCTGGACATAACCTTATGTACAGTATGTTTCTCTAGTGGGTGAAAGGTACACTAATGTTTGAGCAGATCAGGAGACTGACAGGAAAGATGGGGAAAGAATGAGCATGGACAAGACATGGCAGTATCCCCTTAGCCTCACTCTTCTCCAAACAAACTGACCTGCAAACAGAGAAATGAAAACAGTGAATGAAAGCAGGTTTCCCCCGAATGGCTGGATATCTTAGGGTTTTTTTTTTTGTTTGTTTGTTTGTTTGGTTTTTTTTTTGGTGTTTTTGAGACAGGGTCTCCCTGTAGCCCCAGCTGTCCAGGAACTCACTGTGTAGATCAGGCTGGTCTTGAACTCACAGAGATCTGCCTGCCTCTGCCTCCTGAGTACAGGGATTACAGGCATGTGTCACCATGCCTGGCAATATCTTAGCTTTTTGTGGCCTTATTTCTCAAACTGTCCAATTGACCTGAGACTCACTTGAGATTTATTCCTCTCTGTTCAAATACCTTCCAAAGTGCAAGTGGCACTGAAAGGCAGAGCTCAGCATTTATCAGATGGTGATCCGTGTGAATGAAAATTTGAGTGCCATGGAGTTTGGGGAGGGGAGGCATGCTTTGAAGAATGTGACCCATGTGGTGGGGTGTTTGCTAAGTGGGGAGTAAAGTTCAGGTACAGAAGAAGAGGAAAGGTAAGGAGATGCTGAGCAGGTGAGGACAAAGGTGAAATGTTCCGGAAGAAAGCCTGGAGAAGGTGACCAAACACCAACGTTCAAAAATTCTCTGTATTGCTGAAGGTCAGCCATGCTCCACACCTACTGTCCTTGAGTTTTTTTCACTCAGAAAGGCCTGTTTTCTTGACTTTTCTCATAGGCCTAGACAATCTTCATTTGACATGGGAGCTGTGATAAAGAAGCAAGGTGCTGCAAGTGGGTACAGTTTGTTCTCTAACACGTGTGCTATGTGCCCTCACCTTTCTTTGGGCATTTTTGATCATGAACATGGCAGGCCTCCTTTCATGTCCATGGGAATGCATACCATTAAGTTTCTGCTCTAAAGCTTCAGGCAGGGATCCAGGAGAGAGAACATTTTATCCCTAGCAGCATGAACGGTATGCGGGGGAGTAGGGACGTGCAGGCTGCTTATGAACACACTAGTGCTAAATTTATTCCAGATGTTTGTACTGGGGAAAATGGAGGTAGTTAGAAGTGCTGGATCTACCCTTGGATTCTCCCAGGTGTGACTGCCTGTTGGTCATAATTCTCTGCTTCCAGGCACCAGGGAACCTGAGTGTGGCAGAGGGTGAGGGCCAGCCCATACCCATGAAAAATAGCCTGCCTCCCAAACTTTGCCACTGCACGCGTTCCACATGGCCGGAATCATAAAAGCATGTGTTGTGAAATTCACAGCTCCTACTTTATAGAAGTTCAGAGAAGTAGCCAGTTGCCTGTGTTA